GCAAGGTTGAGAAACACTGATCTACACACATATAGGCTAGATGTACACAATGGGCATGCATGCACCACGCAAGTCCTGAAACAAGATCAAAGTACAATAGTGGAAAGTAGAAAAACTAGGATTTTCTGCTGTAGTTAAAACCGGTAAATACTAAGACGATGCAAGAAAAAGAAGAAGAAATAATATTTGTCCATGACGAAGTTTAGTATCGCGGACAAAACAACACATTATACTGCACAATTTATTGCCAAACAAATCTGGCTGTATCTTCTCAGGTGCATTACTGAAGTATTGAATCAACACACAACAGGGCGCAACAATTCCTTTGCTCTCTCTCTCTCTCTCTCTCTCTCTCTCTCTCTCACACACACACACACACACACACACACACACACATATCTATATATATGTATATCTATGTTTATATATGAGATGCATTCAAAATGAGTGAAAAAGTAAAACATATGAGTAGGCAACTACTTGTATCAACAGTTAAAGAATACAGAAGAACAGAAGATGCGCAACATCTGATACATCCTGGGAAGAAATCGGCAAAGACTCAGTAAACAGGCATTAACATGGGAAAAAGATGGATATTAAAGAGACAAGGACGCAGAAAACGTTGATGAGAGAGACGGAAGATACTCGACTGTATTCCATCCATGATATTGGGCTCATTGCACATGATATAAGAGAATGAAGGGATAGACTGCCCACACAATGTGACACGCAATGGCACAACATGATGGTGCAAATGTGAATCTCTGTGGCGCAGTGGTCAAGCCGTTTGCCTCGCTTTCTGAAGATCGTAGGTTCGTTTCATTACGGAGTCATTCGGTTCACTGGAGCAATTTTCATGAATACTCATCGGGGTCGTCGCAGGAGCTGGGCAGTTTGTTCTCTGTGTTACACTCTCGGCAGGCAGTTAGCAGCATGGAATCTGGTTTCATTGAACACACGCAGAAAAACTGAGACCTAAACGAAACGTGTACAGCACTTCACTCATTTTCCCCGAAGATTTGATTCCTTGGAACAAACACAGAAACACTGAGACCCAAACAAAATGAACACAGCACTTTACTTACTTTTCCCGAATATTTGATTCCATGGAATAAGCACAGAAACACTGAGACCCAAACAAAATGGACACAGTCCTTCACTTACTTTTCCAAAAAGATTTAATTCCTTGAAACAAGCAAAGAAACACTGAGGTCCAAACGAAATGGACACAGCACTTCACTTACTCTCCCTAAAGATTTGATTCCTTGAAACAAACACAAAAACACTGAGACCCAAACGAATGGACACAGCACTTCACTCATTTTCCCCAAAGATTTGATTCCTTGTAACAAACACAGAAACACTGAGACCCAAACAAAATGGACACAGCACTTTACTTACTTTTCCCGAATATTTGATTCCATGGAATAAGCACAGAAACACTGAGACCCAAACGAAATGGACTCAGCACTTTACTTACTTTTCCCGAATATTTGATTCCATGGAATAAGCACAGAAACACTGAGGCCCAACCGAAATGGACACAGCACTTTACTTACTTTTCCCGAATATTTGATTCCATGGAATAAGCACAGAAACACTGAGACCCAAACGAAATGGACACAGCACTTTACATACTTTTCCCGAATATTTGATTCCATGGAATAAACACAGAAACACTGAGGCCCAAACGAAATAGACACAGCACTTTACATACTTTTCCCGAATATTTGATTCCATGGAATAAACACAGAAACACTGAGACCCAAACGAAATGGACACAGCTCTTTACTTACTTTTCCCGTATATTTGATTCCATGGAATAAACACAGAAACACTGAGACCCAAACGAAATGGACACAGCACTTTACTTACTTTTCCCGTATATTTGATTCCATGGAATAAACACAAAAACACTGAGACCCAAACGAAATGGACACAGCACTTTACATACTTTTCCCGAATATTTGATTCCATGGAATAAACACAGAAACACTGAGACCCAAACAAAATGGACACAGCACTTTACTTACTTTTCCCGAATATTTGATTCCATGGAATAAGCACAGAAACACTGAGACCCAAACGAAATGGACTCAGCACTTTACTTACTTTTCCCGAATATTTGATTCCATGGAATAAGAAACACTGAGGCCCACAGAAACACTGAGACCCAAACACGACCCAAAAAATGGACTCAGCACTTTACTTACTTTTCCCGAATATTTGATTCCATGGAATAAGCACAGAAACACTGAGACCCAAACGAAATGGACTCAGCACTTTACTTACTTTTCCCGAATATTTGATTCCATGGAAATAAACCAAACAGACACACACTGACTTACCCAAACGAAATGAGACCCAAACAGCACTTTAGCACTTTACTTACTTTTCCCGAATATTTGATTCCATGGAATAAACACAGAAACACTGAGACCCAAACGAAATGGACACAGCACTTTACTTACTTTTCCCGTATATTTGATTCCATGGAATAAACACAGAAACACTGAGACCCAAACGAAATGGACACAGCACTTTACTTACTTTTCCCGTATATTTGATTCCATGGAATAAGCAAACACAGACTCAGCACACTGAGACACAGAAAACGAAATGGACTCAGCACTTTACTTACTTTTCCCGAATATTTGATTCCATGGAATAAGCACAGAAACACTGAGACCCAAACGAAATGGACTCAGCACTTTACTTACTTTTCCCGAATATTTGATTCCATGGAATAAACACAGAAACACTGAGACCCAAACGAAATGGACACAGCACTTTACCCGTATATTTGATTCCATGGAATAAACACAGAAACACTTGGACACAGATTCCATGGAATTTGATTCCATGGAACAACACAGAAACACTGAGACCCAAACGAAATGGACACAGCACTTTACTTACTTTTCCCGAATATTTGATTCCATGGAAAATGAGACCCACACAGAAACACTTTGAGATTTGATTCCAAACGAAATGGACAAACAGCACTTTACTTACTTTTCCCGAATATTTGATTCCATGGAATAAACACAGAAACACTGAGACCCAAACGAAATGGACTTTTCAGCACTTTACTTACACTTTTTCCCGAATATTTGATTCCATGGAATAAACACAGAAACACTGAGACCCAAACGAAATGGACACAGCACTTTACTTACTTTTCCCGAATATTTGATTCCATGGAATAAACACAGAAACACTGAGACCCAAACGAAATGGACACAGCACTTTACTTACTTTTCCCGTATATTTGATTCCATGGAATAAACACAGAAACACTGAGACCCAAACGAAATGGACACAGCACTTTACTTACTTTTCCCGAATATTTGATTCCATGGAATAAACACAGAAACACTGAGACCCAAACGAAATGGACACAGCACTTTACTTACTTTTCCCGAATATTTGATTCCATGGAATAAACACAGAAACACTGAGACCCCAAACGACAGCACTTTGGACTTACTTTTCCCGAATATTTGATTCCATGGAATAAACACAGAAACACTTGGACACAGCACTTTACTTACTTTTCCCGTATATTTGATTCCATGGAATAAGCACAGAAACACTGAGACCCAACGACGAAATGGACACAGCACTTTACTTACTTTTCCCGTATATTTGATTCCATGGAATAAACACAGAAACACTGAGACCCCAAACGAAATGGACACAGCACTTTACTTACTTTTCCCGAATATTTGATTCCATGGAATAAACACAGAAACACTGAGACCAAACGAAATGGACACAGCACTTTACTTACTTTTCCCGAATATTTGATTCCATGGAATAAACACAGAAACACTGACCCAAACGAAATGGACACAGCACTTTACTTACTTTTCCCGTATATTTGATTCCATGGAATAAACACAGAAACACTGAGACCCAAACGAAATGGACACAGCACTTTACTTACTTTTCCCGTATATTTGATTCCATGGAATAAACACAGAAACACTGAGACCCAAACGAAATGGACACAGCACTTTACTTACTTTTCCCGTATATTTGATTCCATGGAATAAACACAGAAACACTGAGACCCAAACGAAATGGACACAGCACTTTACTTACTTTTCCCGTATATTTGATTCCATGGAATAAACACAGAAACACTGAGACCCAAACGAAATGGACACAGCACTTTACTTACTTTTCCCGTATATTTGATTCCATGGAATAAACACAGAAACTGAAACTTTACCTTACTGAGACCCAAACAGAAATGGACCCAAACGAAGCACTTTACTTACTTTTCCCGTATATTTGATTCCATGGAATAAACACAGAAACACTGAGACCCAAACGAAATGGACACAGCACTTTACTTACTTTTCCCGTATATTTGATTCCATGGAATAAACACAGAAACACTGAGACCCAAACGAAATGGACTCAGCACTTTACTTACTTTTCCCGTATATTTGATTCCATGGAATAAACACAGAAACACTGAGACCCAAACGAAATGGACTCAGCACTTTACTTACTTTTCCCGTATATTTGATTCCATGGAATAAACACAGAAACACTGAGACCCAAACGAAATGGACTCAGCACTTTACTTACTTTTCCCGTATATTTGATTCCATGGAATAAACACAGAAACACTGAGACCCAAACGAAATGGACACAGCACTTTACTTACTTTTCCCGTATATTTGATTCCATGGAATAAACACAGAAACACTGAGACCCAAACGAAATGGACACAGCACTTTACTTACTTTTCCCGTATATTTGATTCCCATTTGAATATAACACAGAAACACTGAGACCCAAACGAAATGGACACAGCACTTTACTTACTTTTCCCGTATATTTGATTCCATGGAATAAACACAGAAACACTGAGACCCAAACGAAATGGACACAGCACTTTACTTACTTTTCCCGTATATTTGATTCCATGGAATAAACACAGAAACACTGAGACCCAAACGAAATGGACACAGCACTTTACTTACTTTTCCCGTATATTTGATTCCATGGAATAAACACAGAAACACTGAGACCCAAACGAGAAGGAGGCAGCCCAGCAGAGGCCAACGGATTGTTCCAAAGTGCTCAATACCAGAAGTTTTCTCCAAGACGTTGTGTCTGTGGAAAACATGGCGGTCAGCTATACGGTATGTAGACGTATTACTGTTTCATCATCATCATATTTATCATCATCATCGTTATCATAGTCGTCACTAACATCAAAATCATCATTTTCAACATTATCACCATCATGATCACCAACACACCAGGAGACCTAATAGCAGAACCAGTAGTCGAAGTAGTGGCACCAGTAGTCGAAGTAGTAGTACTAGTAGTATTATTAGTATTCGTAGCAGTACTAGAAGTAGTATCAGTAGTAGCAGTACCAGTATTAAAGCAATACCAGTAGTAGTAGCAGTACCAGCAGAAGTAACAGCAGTACCAGTAGTAGTAGCAGTACCAGTAGTTGTAACAGCAATACCAGTAGTAGTAGCAGTACCAGTAGTAGTAGCAGTGCCAGCAGTTGTAACAGCAATACCAGCATTAGTAGCAGTACCAGCAGTTGTAACAGCAATACCAGCATTAGTAGCAGTGCCAGCAGTTGTAACAGCAATACCAGCATTAGTAGCAGTACCAGCATTAGTAGCAGTGCCAGCAGTTGTAACAGCAATACCAGCATTAGTAGCAGTACCAGCAGTTGTAACAGCAATACCAGCATTAGTAGCAGTGCCAGCAGTTGTAACAGCAATACCAGCATTAGTAGCAGTGCCAGCAGTTGTAACAGCAATACCAGCATTAGTAGCAGTACCAGCATTAGTAGCAGTACCAGCATTAGTAGCAGTACCAGCAGTTGTAACAGCAGTACCAGCATTAGTAGCAGTACCAGCAGTAGTAGCAGTACCAGCATTAGTAGCAGTACCAGTAGTTGTAACAGCAATACCAGCATTAGTAGCAGTACCAGTAGTTGTAACAGCAATACCAGTAGTAGTAGCAGTACCAGTAGTAGTAGCAGTACCAGTAGTTGTAACAGCAATACCAGTAGTAGTAGCAGTACCAGTAGTTGTAACAGCAATACCAGTAGTAGTAGCAGTACCAGTAGTAGTAGCAGTACCAGCAGTAGTAGCAGTACCAGTAGTTGTAACAGCAATACCAGCATTAGTAGCAGTACCAGCATTAGTAGCAGTACCAGCATTAGTAGCAGTACCAGCATTAGTAGCAGTACCAGCATTAGTAGCAGTACCAGCAGTAGTAGCAGTGCCAGCAGTTGTAACAGCAATACCAGTAGTAG